CCCCCCCCCACCTCCCCCCATGCACACAGCTTCTCCTGGGCTGCCTCCCCCGAGCCCCTAGTCAGTGCAGACCCCAGCATCCAGGCACCGCGTCAGCCCTTTAAAAAGTAGAAAGTATTGCATGGTGTCTCAAAGTCTGTAGGATACCTGGATAAAAGGGGGAGAGGGGCTTCTCCACCCCCTAGCTCCTCAAAATAGTGCCCCCTCGCAGCCCCCCACCCTGCCCCCAGTCCCTATGGGCGAGCACTGCTGGTGATCCAGAAGGATCCAAAGGATCGCAGCCAATAGAAATCCATCCCTGGTGGTCCAGCATGACCCACGGACAGTGGGCATCTGGCTAGAGCTTCGTTAATGGAAGTCTGTGGCTAGTGACCCAGAAGCACCCTCATCAGCCAAAGGGAGTCTATCCAGAGTCTAGCCAATGGAAGTCATTGCTGGCACTGAGAAGAGCCCTCGACCATGGAAATCCAACCCTGGTGATCCACAATGACTCTCAGCCAGTGGGAGCCCTGCTCTGCTGAGCCAGAAGACCCCTTAGCTAATGGGAGTTGATCCAGAAGTCACCAAAACCACCAGAAATCCATCATTGGCCATCCAGAAGACCCCTTGGCCAAAAGGACTGGAGACGGCGCCTTGGCCAATGGGAATCCATTGTTGGCCAACGGGAGTGGATCAAGAAGACATCTTGGCCAATGAGAATCCACCACCGGCCACCCAGAAGACCCCTTGGCCAACGGGAATCCATCGTGTGGTGACCTGGAGGGATGCAGCCACAAGACCACACCATTCCGCGCTGGCTGGCGGGCCCGGTCAGTCCTGGGGGCAGGCATAACTGGTGACCCACAGCAAGTCGGCCACCACCCCCCAGTGGAGGTAGAGGATGCTGACCACCACCAGCACGTGCATGATCTGGTGGCTGTTGAACCAGTAGTCGAAGCGGCCGGGTTGCCAGCGCTCAGGCATGCGGGAGACGTTGATGACGCCCCCCAGCAGGGCCAGGCCATCCATGATGAGATACGAGCGCAGCGAGGAGGGGTGGCCTGTGCCCAGGCCCACCCAGCGCAGGTAGAAGAAGAAGAAGCGGAAGAGGGCCTGCCAGGCGAAGGAGCGCAGGCGCCGCACGTTGGAGTGGGCCGTCACCGCGCAGATGATGGCGTAGCTGGACAGCGCCGTGTAGGCCAGCAGGGCGGCGCTGCGGGGAACTGGGGAGCAGGCAAGGGTGCAGTAGATGATGGGAAGGGCACCTGCAGGGAGGGGGGGAGCAAAGGGGTTAGAGGTGGGGGGCAACCAGCCCTTTCTCAGCACCATCCAACCCACCCTGTCCCTGCACTGCCCCACAGTGCCACTACCCTCCCCTCCACCCTGGGATCCTCTGCCCTTCCACCGGATCTACCCTAGCCCCCAGCACTGACCTTCCATAACCCCTAACCAGTCCCCCCACACCCCCGGCTCTGCCCTCAACCAGTCCCCCCCAGCTCTGCTCCCCATAACCCCAACCAGTCCTGCCACGCCCCCCAACCAGTCCCCCCCCAGCTCTGCCCCTCCATAACCGCCCAACCAGTTCCCCAGCCCCCCACTCACCCAGCGTGTTGACCATGCAGACCCCGCACATGTCGAGGGTCAGCAGGGTGTGGTAGACGGCCGGGCCCCCCTCGTGGTTCATGAAGAGGTGGTAGAGCACACTGCCCAGCTGGGGCACCACGCAGGCCAGGTAGTGCACCACGGCCAGCCAGCCCACCGAGATCCGCGCCCACGGGATGGACAGGGGCAGCAGGAAGATGAAGCCCAACAGGGGGATGCCTGAGACCGAGACGGGGAGGCTCAGCGGCAGTGATCGGCCATGGGGCACCCCACTCCCCTTGGACAACCCAATCCAGGCAGCGTGTCCGTCCCCCCCGAGTGCCACAAGCTAGCTCCCTCCCCTGGAGTCGCCCCAGACCCAGACCCCCCTCTGCACGGGCACTGCACTCCTCCCCCAGGCTGCATCTTAGGGTCCCCCAGGATGACCCCAATTGTCTTAGTATCTCTGGGTTCTATCCCAGCTCTGGGAGGGGAGTGGGGTCTAGTGGTTAGAGCGGGGGGCTGGGAGCCAGGACTCCTGGGTTCTCTCCCCGGCTCTGGGAGGGGAGTGGGGTCTAGTGGTTAGAGCGGAGGGGTCTGGGAGCCAGAACTCCTGGGTTTATCCCCAGCTCTACAACAGGCAGAGATGGGAAGAGCTGCAGACAGCCCCCCCCCAAAAAAGTCCTTGGAGGGCAGAGAGCGAGGAGCGAAGATGCACCTGGCATCACTTTATCAGTTATTTGCTCTGCATGGTAGGGACAGCCCCAAGGACAGTGAGGTGACCTGACCGACAGCCCCCTGCTGTCCCAGCCCGGAGCTCCCTGCCCCCCAGCTCTGCCGGTGCCTCTCAGTCCTGGCTCCTGGCCCCCCCTGCTCTAACCTACCACACCCCACTCCCCTCCCAGAGCTGGGGAGAGAACCCAGGAGTCCTGGCTCCCAATTTCCACCCCCCCCCCCGGCCCCGGCTCCAACCCACTAGCCCCCCCTCTCCTGCTGATCGTGGCAGGACAGTTACGATCGATAAGCCCTTTGCGGATAACGATAGTGTATGAATACATTCCCACCCTAGTTCACAGCCCCCTTGAGCTTTTCCAGCCCTTCTACCCCACACCCCTGCTTTAAGCCTCTCTGAAGGGCCTGCGGTGTCCTGGTTCTGAGGACAGGGGTCTCCCACATCCTGCTGGAGAGGGCTATCCAACCCCCCAGTGCCAGGCCCAGATGTCTAGAGGTGACCCCTCCCTCCCCTCCCCTCCCCTCCCCCAGCGCCAAGGGCACCGGGAGCAGAATCAGCAAAGAAATCAGACGCTGAGCTGTTCTGCTGACAGGTGGGAGCACCGAGCCCATGGCACCAGCTTGCCAGCGGCTGCAGAGGGAATATGAACCAGCAGAGATGCAGCCAGCTCTGGGGCGGGGCAGCTGGAGAACAGCCACACACAATGCCGCAGGGGGGTGGCTTGCCTGGTGCTTAGAGGCAGCCAGCTCTGGGGCAGGGCAGAGCGGGATCCCCACTGCTCTCTCATGAGTGGCGCCAGAGCTCAGGTAACGACCTCGGCATCTAAGGCCAAGTGAGACGTTAAATAATCATGATTTACACTCCAGAGACACTTCCCAACGCCAGCTTCACATAGAACCCAGGAGTCCTGGCTCCCAGCCCCCCTGCTCTGACCCACTAGACCCCACTCCCCTCCCAGAGCCTGGACAGAACCCAGGAGTCCTGGAGACTGGGAAGTCTCTTGAGCCCAGGTGTCTGCCTGGGTGCTACGCAGAGAACCACACAACTTGTGTCAGCCATGGGTGATGCAGGATGGGCTCTGTTCTGCCAGGGGCACCTGTAGGGCACCCAGGTCTAAGCCACTTAGGCAGGGAGCTAAGTGGGGGAGGCAGGCACTGGCCCCTGACGTCAGGGCCCCAGGTCAGCCCTGAGCCCTTAACGAGATCATCGTTAGCAGGAGCAGCGAGCTAAAAGCTGAGGGAGGATCTGCCAGGGGGCAGGGTGCTGCAGAGAGTGCCCCACCCCAGAGGGGCTGCATCTCAGCGCCAGGCGCAGGGTCCCCGTATGAACAGCCGTGTCTAAGTGCCACACAAGGGGTCCCGGTGTAACCAGCCCCCGCTGCCCACCCCAGAGGGGGCCGCATCACAGCACCAGGGAAGGGGAGGCCATTTCCCCTCATGGAACCATGTCCCGCCTGGGCTCCCCGCTCTCAAAATCATCGGGGATGAGAGAGATCAGCTCAGTTCACACGATCCCCTCCTGCATGTCTCCCCCCAATTCCTTCTGGCCTCCACTCCCAACAGGGCTCTGCCAGGCAGGATCCCATTCCCCCCACCAACATCCCTGCGCAGGGGCCCCAGCCCCCCAAATCTCCAGCCCCCCACAGTTCCCCCCCCGAATTATCAGCCCCTTCCGTATAGCCCCAGCCTGCACTTTCCTCTGATCCCCCCATGTCTCCCCACATTACCAGAACCCCATATCCCTGTCCCCCCATACACATCTCCCCAAAATCCTCCTGGTCTCTGCCCCTCACATTCCAAGCCCCCTCCCTCGATATCCCTTCTCTCCCAAAACACAACTCCCCTGACCCACCTGCCCTGACAGGATCAATCCATCCCTCCCCACAGCTTCTGTGTCAAGGGGGCAGTTCCCCGGCCCCTCACATGGCAGGAAGCATCGATCCTGGCACTGCCAGGCGGAGAACAACAGCAGGAACTGGCGCCAGAGAACTGGCTCCTGGCCTTGAGCCATCCACCTCCTTCAGTGAAGGGATCCCTGAACCTGAGACGCAGCCACTTCTGGGGCAGGGCAACTAGTAAAAGCCACACACACCACCACAGGGTATGGGACAGGACGTGAAGAAGCCTGTATCCAATTTAATCTGATTGAGGAATGCAGACGGGAGCTGGGGTTTGGCCCGGACGCCAGGGTTCACGCCCTGACTCTGGAGGAAAGGGCTTGAGGGCTATGAACGAGGCAGGGATCTAAGCAGGGCGTATTGGTAAACCGGCCAATGACACAGCCCCAGATCCTCACCCAGGAATAGGGACCCCCATATCCTCCAGCAGGGACATAACTGGGGGCAGAATGGATGATCTATGCCAGTTCAGACACATGCATAGTCCTGGCTCCCAGCCCCCGCTGCTCTAACCACCAGCCCCCACTCCCCTCCCAGAGCTGGGGAGAGAACCCAGGAGTCCTGGCCCCCAGCCCCCTGCTCTAACCACTAGCCCCCACTCCCCTCCCAGAGCTGGGGAGAGAACCCAGGAGTCCTGGCTCCCAGCCCCCCCTGCTCTAACCCACTAGCCCCCACTCCCCTCCCAGAGGCAGGGACAGAACCCAGGAGTCCTGGCTCCCAGCCCCCCCTGCTCTAACCCACTAGCCCCCACTCCCCTCCCAGAGCTGGGGAGAGAACCCAGGAGTCCTGGCTCCCAGCCCCCCTCCGCTCTAACCCACTAGCCCCACCTGCCCTCCCAGAGCCAGGGAGAGAACCCAGGAGTCCTGATCTGACCTCTAAACCATCCGGCTGCCTCTGCCTCTTCAGGTGAATCTGCCCCTGAGCTGAGCTGATCCCAGCTAATCCCAGGAGATGTCTCAGGCACCAGGAAGGGGGGGCCGCGGGGATGCTGGAGGAGGCAGAGAAGGTCACGGCTCAACAGGGATCCACTGTTACTCCTGCCCCAGCCAACGGTCCCACCTGGCCCCATAGGCTCTAGGACCAAGGTCCCTGAAGGCCAGGGGTGAGCTCAGCAGGGGATGCAGAACACAGAGACCCTGCTGGGCATAGAACCCAGGAGTCCTGGCTCCCTGCCCGCCCTGCTCTAACCCACCAGCCCCCACTCCCCTCCCCTCCCAGAGGCACAGATTGAACCCAGGAGTCCTAGGAAGCTATTAACTTGATCTGGGGCATCCCCAGCGCATTCCTCTGCCACCGACCATTAGGTGGGGTTGCGGGGTAACAGGATGGAACTGCCCAAACCCATCTCCTAGGACCAGGGATGCCCCACCCACATCCCATTCCCCGGGAGCTGGGAGCCAGGACTCCTGGGTTCCATCCCTGGCTCTGGGAGGGGACTGGGGTCTGGTGGGGCAGAGCGCGGGGGCTGGGTAGGAGCCAGGCCTCCTGGATCCCAATGGCACCTTGGGGGTGATTTTGTGCTCCGCTCAGCAGATCGAGGGGGAACTGACGTCAGCTGGGCTCCCAGGGGAGCCAGGTGGCACATTCCTGCACAGGCTGGGTGGGGACCCAGGAAGCAGTTTCTGCTCATGAACTTAGGCCTCACTTGGCATGGTTGCAGTCAAGGGCCTTATCGCACGTCAGAGAGGCCCTGCCCACCCGGAGCTGGGATAGAACCCAGGAGTCCTTGCTCCCAGCCCCAGCAGAGCCAATCTCCCGGGTTCTTCTCCTGCTGGGGGGAACCCCCATGCTCTCCAGATCCCCCGTGGGCATAGGAGCCCGATGTGGGGACTGGCTGCTGGGGAGCCCAGGAGAGGGAACCGACCAGTTCAGGGGCCCGGTCCATCGGTGGGGAATTGGGGACAGCGGTCCAGGGCGGGTCTCAGTGCATGGGCAGGGAGTCTTGGTGCTGTGGGTTGTAGGAGCTGGGGGACTGGGGTTGAGTCCATGGGGCTCAGGGGCTGGTGTATATAGGACCGTGGCATGCTCAACGGGTCGGGGAGTGGGTATGGAGTCAGTGCAGCGGGGATCGGGGGGCAGGGTGCCAGCGCATGTGGGCGGATGAACCTGCAGGGCATGTAGAGGGCCGGTGCAGGAGGGATCAAGGTGCAGGGGAACTGGGGCGCAGGGGGTGTAGGTGGCTGGTGCAGGAGTGGGGGAAATCAGAGTGCCTGGGGGTCGGGGGGGATTGGGCCAGGGGGGATCAGGGTGCAGTGCTCACGGGGGGAAATCAGGATACCCAGGGAGATCAGGGCCGGGGGGGGATCAGGGCACATTGGGGCACTGCCCGGGGGGATTGGGGTGCCTGGGGCCAGGGGAATTGGGGTGCATTGGGGCACTGCCCGGGGGGTCAGGCCGAGGGGGATGAGGACATGCGGGCATTACCAGGGGATGGGATAGGGGTGCCTGGGGGGATCGGGCGGGGGGCGGATCAGGGCGCATTGGAGCACTGCCGGGGGAATCGGGCCTGGGGGGATCGGACGATGCGGCCACTGCCTGGGGGGGGGGGGGGATCAGGCCCGGGGGGAAATCGAGGGTGCGGGATCGGGGTGC